ATTACAAGACTCAAAGGAAAAAAAATGGTCAAGAAAAACTTCAACTTGATGCGTAACTGTTACAAACAACACTGTAATGTGTAGCAGAAAATAAAACTACAGAACTGTACAGTACTGTGTACTAAGTGCAATCAAAAATTGTAGTAAACAAGGTTTATTGCACAAAAAGCATTGAGATTATCAATAAAGTGTGTAGAACTACAAAAGTAAAGAAAAACAGGTTGCAAGTCTGAGCAGCAAGTCAAAGTCCAAACAGTGCACTTTGGTTGTAAGCCCAAAAGTCAATAAACAGCTAGGTCATTAAACAAGGAATATATGTACCAGTATTAGCAGGAAGCATTGTGTGACAATCATCCATATTTCCTTTTCCTCAGCCCATTCGAAGGTGGACCCTTGGAGCACTAAAAGAACTTCACATTCCTTGAGCACTTTCTATGCACCAATCCCTTTGCTTAGACATTAATTTTCATCAAATTAAACAGCAAACCCAAGACAGTTGATTGGCATAAGCATCAGTTTTTCCAGGGATTAACATAGTTATCAACTTATAATTTTCATTCAATAACGAATTGGAAGACACTTCAAACAGCACGACTGACACCAGATTTTTAAACATATTTCAATGTGTTTTTAAGATGTTGAAGAATACCAGACAGTTTGTTATTCCAAGGTAGTGTTTGTCATGCTTTACAGACATAGTCTGACTTTTAGTTCAACAACTGTGAGACTTGGAACCCACTTTCTGACCACTAAACTCATTTTATAATGTACAGTCACCAATAGCTGGCAGTCGTACCATTTTAAATTGATATTCAAAAACAGTTGTCATTTTGGGCCAAGAATAATTTAATATAAGAAACATGTTTACTCCTTTTTCCTTTTTCCAGAATAACTTCAAGAATTTCTCATATGGTGACTTAACAGGAAATTAAATAATATCCAAGTCATATTTTTTTGCTTTTCTATTTTTTTAATATTTGGGAATGTTCATTTATGTTACTCTGAAGATGTGTTTTCTTATTCTGAGATGGACATAAATTCTGAGGAATAAGATGTTCTGCATTTCACACATCCATACCAATGTACTACAATGAAACACTCTAACTCTCGTGATTTTGCCATAAGCAAATTATATTTTTGAAAAATAGATAAATAGATAGAACAAGATTTGTGCCTAAATTTAGTTGAAATTACATGCAATTATAAACATCTTTTAAGAATTTCTTTCTAAAGAACTATATTTTCATTCTATAAATTTAATTGCTTCCCATTATTTGTCTCTATTAATATTGTCATTTCAAATTGGACAAAAACCTTCAGGAGTTCAGTTATCTTGAGTACTGAACAAACTAAGATATTGCAGAATATTTTCTAGTTCACAAAATGACTGTATATAATTATATTAATTCTCACACAACCCTATCTCTACCTGATGTGAAGAAAACTGAGGCAGTTTTAATTACTGACAATAGCCACAGTGTCTCTGTCATTCATCCAAGATTAGCCATGGTAGTTTGAAGAGTTGCTGTTGTGGTGGTGTGGTTTGGTTTGGTTTGGTTTGGTTTGGTTTGGTTTGGTTTGGTTCAGTCCTGGGCACAGAATTTAGTACCTCTCACAAGCTAATGACATGTCCTGCCACTCAAGTATGCTTCTAGCCCTAGTAAAGTGAAAAAAGACCCTTGTCCTCTTTTTGCCAGGAGATTACATGTTTTTCAACATTTTATGAGTGGAGAAGACAGAGTCCCACAGGACTATGATGTGTTTTAAATTAGCATGCAATGAAATATGTACTATGCACTATTATTGACAGTTTATTTCCATTTTAAGCCTATCAGTAAATGATATTAAGACCCCAGAAAAGTAAGACATAAATACAATGATTTTATGGGCTAGCCAAATAACTCAGCAAACAATGCTGCATATGGCTAGATTTCTAATTTTCTGTGTAAAAATATGTGTTTATTCCTATTTCTAAATTTTTTTCTTCATATTCTGTAAGGACTTACATTTCCATACATCAATACTTGATGGAAGATACCTGTTCCACGTTATGCTTAAGATGTTTGATACTTAGACAGATACTTAGGGTAAACCAAACGCATATGTTACAGGGTAATAATAAGCTTCTCTTCTGGAGGGTTAACAACCTAAGTTTGCAGATCAAAAATTGGAGAAAAGGAAGGGCTCCAAGGTCTGCCAACACTTTGGCCCTAGCCTTTCAAGGTCAGTGAAGACTGAGGACATTGGAGAACCCATACGGTAACATCATGTAACTCAGTTGTGCCCCAAATTTTCTGATCAAGGAGACTGTGGAGTCACAGAGGAATGTGATCGATGATGTATAGTGTGCCCAAAGAGAGTCACATGGAGAGAAAACTTTCTCTCAGGCTTTCACAGAGAGCAAATTGGTCAAGCATTGACCGTGACTCATCCTCATGGCTGACACTGACAAAGGATCTATAAAGTGCAGTACAGGTTTACAGGATAAATCCTGAGGGGACTTGACTGGTCTTATCAGATACAAAAGTTACATTTCTTGTTATATAAGTCTTGCTTTATCTTGGGCTTAACCATCCAGCAGAAAAGTATAAAAATGAGGTATATAAAGTAAAGCCCTATTAATATGCTGAGCTGTAAAAGGCTAGTCAACAACTCCAGACAATCCCCTTCTATTGTAGACTACTGGACTGTGTTGGATTGCTTTGCTGAATTCAAGCACCTATAATATTTAGACGCCAGTAGAATACCCACCTCTGCCAGGACTGAACTGGAGAGGGGGGATACAGAGGAAGGACCATTTTGTATTTGTATATACAGAATAGTTAGGATAGATGTATGGCTGCTTTCACTTGGTCAGTGAGAGGAAGGATTTGTAGTAGCAGTGTTTGGATGGGATGTCCTGGCTGCTTCTTGTGCTGTGGATGACCGCTGAGAAGATAACAATGTGCAATGTATTAATTATTGAAAATATCCTATTAATTAGCTTGGAAAGTGTCTCATTGATATTTGTTTCTCAATAAAATATAAATATAAATAAATAAATAAACAAATAACTCAGCAGATTAAAGCCCCTGCAAGCAGGCGCAGGGGCCGGCGCTTCAATCCCCAAGCCTGACGTGCCGGCGCTGCCCCTGAGGCTTGCTGAGACAGCAATTGAGACTGGGCGTGGTGGCTTGCACCTGTAATCCCAGCTTTTGGGAGGCTCTAACCAGGAGGATCACTACTAGTCCGATCTAGTAGTGAGACTCTGAACACCCTGTAGACCCTTCCCTAAAAATAAAAAAAATAAAAAAAAAAACCCAAAAATTTTGTTTCAAATTATTCAGGTATGTTAAATAATTTTCACTGGCAGGCAATGTATATAAGTATTTTAAACCATGATCCAAGCTAAAATGTCAGCCCCTATTTTCAAAATTTCAAAATCATTGTAAATTCTGGGGTGATAGGCATGTTCATTACCCTGATATCTTCACTACACAATATTAACACATTTTGATATATCACAGCACACCCCGTCATTATGCACAATTGTATGTCAATTAAAAAAGAAACAACTTTTTAAAATTATTGATTTGAAATATTTATGGCATAAGTGTTCATGATTATAGAAGGCTTGTAAGATAAGGAGTATAATTTACCACCAAAGAACAGACAAAACTGCTTTGTTACAATGTGTTCTTTCTTCAGTTTCCTCCATGCTTTAGGAAGCCTTCTAAGAATAAAGTCATAGTAAAAATAGATCACAGACAGTTAAGGAAAAAATAGGAAGTCAAATTGTTATTTATCTTAAACGTTACATGAAAATTAACATCCTTGTTTTTTTCCCTGGCTGGATTTTATTAATCTTGGAACATAAAAATTTTTCGGAATGATTCTGAAGAATTTGGATCAAAAGGCTGCAAAGAATGAGAGTCCCCAGGGTTAGAGTGATGAGTCACCAAAAGTGGCTCAGAAAACCACCTCCACCTCAGCAGCATGTGTGGATTAATCACGGAGAGGGAGTGGGGATGCTGGTTTGTATCTCCAACTGAAGGATGAGTAAGCATTGCTGTGTTGCTTCTTCAGTATCTTGGCCATTCCAAATTTTAATCTTAAAATGATATAAAATATCACCTCACTCACAGAGTATTCTTTTCTTTTCAAACTATTACAGTTTATGAAGTTATATAGAAATGAATGAAAAGCTCCAAGACCCTGATACTTTTACAGAACAGTTTCTTTAGAAATGACTCACCAGCCAAAGGTATTCCAGGATCTTCTTGCCACAAACAAAGATTTGGGTGAGACAAGACAATAATGGTACCAGAAACTTTATTTGAAAAACCATGGGGTAAAAGGGTATGGAACAAACCATCTCTGAGGAGTGAACTTAGACCAAGCGAAAAGAAAAGGAGGGAATAAACAAAAGGAAAAGTGCACACAGTGTATGAGAAATGTGGTGCAGGCTGTTATGTGGCTCTCCGTGATAGCCTGTCCTTTCTTGTGGACTTGCATGAAGTTCTACATACAGGGTCCTGTCCTTGCTATGCCCTGGGATCTTGGGATTTACAAGTCCTACTCATTGCCCCAGCAGCATTGCCATCTCCTCTCTCCTATACCAATATTACTTGGTGTGAAATGTTCACTTGTTGAAGCCCCTTAAGATTTTGGCAGATGTTGGTATGAAAAGCAAGCTTGTATGCGGATGCTTGCAAAACATCTATGAGTTTGAGAAGAAATGAAAGAAAATGACTTAGGTTGCAGCAGGAAGACAAAAGATTTCTCACAGTGTGAAAGAAAACTATTCTGAAAGAAGCAGAGGGAGTCAAGACAACATTGACACCTCACCTCACCCATGAGTTTTTGTGGTACAGAAGAACAAAGAGTACTTGGAACGTGGGCAAGAAACAGCCACGTCCTTAGAAAAATCTCAGGTTTCATGTAATGAAAGGAACTAGAAGAGCATCTTCAGGAAAACTAAGGCTGTTGGAGACTTTATGCACAGTTAAAATGTGGCTGCCATGGCAGTTAGCAAGATTAGAAATAGAAAGCAGGGAAAAGTGCAGAATGTTTCTTCTTGGCGGCCGGGGGATATGGAAGCCCCGGCCGCCGGCGCCATCATGTCGCCTGAGGAGGAACTGGACGGGTACGAGCCGGAGCCTCCCGGGAAGAGGCCGGCCGTGCTGCCCTTGTTGGAGCTGGTCGGGGAGGCCGAGAAGAGTCCCAGCGCCGACGGCTCGCTGCCCTCCACGCCGCCCCCGGCGGAGGAGGAGGAGGACGAGCTGTACCGGCAGTCGCTGGAGATCATCTCGCGGTACCTGCGGGAGCAGGCCGCCGGCGCCAAGGACTCGAAGCCGCTGGGCGGGGCCGGGGCCGCCGGCCGGAAGGCGCTGGAGACCCTGCGGCGGGTCGGGGACGGCGTGCAGCGCAACCACGAGACGGCCTTCCAAGGAATGCTTCGGAAACTGGACATCAAAAACGAAGATGATGTCAAATCCTTGTCACGAGTGATGGTCCATGTTTTCAGTGACGGCGTAACAAATTGGGGCAGGATTGTGACTCTCATTTCTTTTGGTGCCTTTGTGGCCAAACACTTGAAGAGCATAAACCAAGAAAGCTGCATCGAACCATTAGCAGAAAGTATCACAGATGTTCTAGTACACACAAAAAGGGACTGGCTAGTCAAACAAAGAGGCTGGGATGGGTTTGTGGAGTTCTTCCACGTAGAGGATCTAGAAGGCGGCATCAGAAATGTGCTGCTGGCTTTTGCAGGTGTTGCTGGAGTAGGAGCTGGTTTGGCATATCTAATAAGATAGCCTTGTAAGTGCAATAGTTGACTGTTAAACAACCCCAGGCGCCAAAACATTATACTTCTGTGAAAGCAAAGTATTTATGAAGCTGGTGGGCTTGAAGCTGTCCAAGCAGCAACTTCAAAGAGGCCAGAAAGCAAGAACATGATGGCTGCCAGTCATGGGAGAAGTAGTCCCCTTCAAGAGCCACAGTGTGAAAGAAGCAAAGTGCAGTTTCAGCAACAAACTGTGAGACTGTGAAAGACTTCGAGATGTAGCGAAGGTGATAGGGTGGAAAGACTTGATTTCTTTGTGTAAAGCCAGAGGAGTGGCCAGTAGCCAGCTAGTCATAAAAGTCATTAAATATACCCACCAAGTCATCAATTGTCTCCTGTCAAAGAAGCACTAACAATGCTAGTGACTTGTGCATAAAGTGGATTTAAGCTACAAGGAGTTGAACTCTGACCACACGCCTCAGTGCTGTGGAGCAGCATGTGAAGGGCAGCTTTTCCTCTGTAATTCACTTCCCCAGTGTACTTCTTGAGTAGACCAACAATAGTTAGAAATATGGAATAGTCTCAGTTTTTAAAACAAAAGTAACTTGTATTTGTCTGTAAAAATTGTTTATATTTTTACAGAAAGTATTTGGACAAAGTATATCAAATTAACAGTAGTTTTTTTCATACCCTTTTGAAGTTTGCAACTTCTGTAGTTAGCAATCTATTTCTTACAGCTTTTCTATTCAGAGCTTTGTCCTGGTCAGTTCTAGAATGTATACAGAACTAACTAAAGTTATGTGTATGCAGCCTGGTTGTACTGGAACAAATCTGATTCATAACTATGCAGGGTTTAATTTTCCAGTCTGATTTTGGTAAATATTCCTTATATGGCTTCTGGGGGAGGGTGGGCTGATATCTTAAAAATAGTGGGCTCTGATTAGACAACTTATGAGTTCTTAAATCTGACCTCGTTTAACTTATACAATTTAAAACTGAATTCATGAGCTCATCTTTAAAGCTTTCACTGAACAATTTTCAGCTGTTCCAAGTGAGCATTGTGTGTGAGAGACATTTGATTCCTTGTTTTAATTTGTAAAGTGATGGCTTGCAAAAGCAGGCCAGGGTCTAATGGTGCTAATTAATACTGGGCTTGCTTGTTAAACACAGGTTTAAGCCTAGTATGCAAATAAAAAAAAAAAAAAAAAAAAAAAAAAAAAAAAAAAAAAAAAAAAAAAAAGAATGTTTCTTCTTTGGGGTGACTAAGAAGTACACCAATCAAGTAAGCCTGATGATTGCCTGTCAATATCCCACTTCATCAATTGAGAGTCCAGGATAGTGCTTATCCACCAAGCAGAACACAGATGACTTCTGTGAGGTTTGAAGAAAGACAACATGAGTAGAAATGGCTTATAATGCTTGGAAAGAGGGGAAATCTCTGAGGCAGAAAGAAGCAAGGTTTGCTTTAGATGGCATCTCTTGTAGTATTTAGAGAGGAACTGTTGCTTAAGAATGGGGACAGAAACTAGCTCTGAATACTGGAGTGTCAGGCTGAAAGCTTGGTTTACTATGTGAGTGATTCTCACCCATGTCCAGCATGGCAACAAGTTTGAAGTATAACAGGAGAGTCAGTTACAACTCATCTCTTCCTGAACTAGAATCAGTCAGTTAGCAGAGGTATGGCTTGAAAAAAAAAAAAAAAAAAAAATGAAAGGAGTTACAAACTAATTTACAAAAAATAATATAAAATAAAGAAAATAAAAGCTGAAAGACTTGCTTATTTGCTGTCATGATTGTAATTTGTTTTATAACTTACAATTTGCACTTATGAAGTAACATAGAATCCAAGATAACAAGTAAAATATATAATAAGTGATATTTTATGTAATTAATTAGTCGTATACTTGTAATTTTTATATCATTAGTGATTGATTTTCTATAATAAAGTTAAGTGTCAAAGAGCCATATAAAAATTCTGCTAGGGGAAGTTATAGGAAATCACTTTGAATGCAATATAGTGTCACATCATCTTAGTATATGAGATTTTAGACAGTTAAATGAACATAAAACTTAGAATGCACGTGCCTCAAAAAACTAAAAGTAGAAATTTCACTTGACTCAGTTATTCCCTTTCTAGGTATCATCCTGAAAGATTTAAAGATATCATATTGCAGTGATGTATGCATGTGTACCCTGTTTACAGGAGTACAATTCATAATATGTATTTTAATCTTTAAAGCAGCCTGTAGGTCCACCAGATGAGTGGAGAATGAGAATGTGTAAGTATGCACAATGATGTACTTACTATTCTGCCATAAAGAAAGACAAACATGAGTCATTTTTAGGAAAATGAATACATGTTGAGACCATACTGTTGAGTAAAATAAACACAAGCTTAACTACTGCATGGTTCTCTTATACGAGACACTTAAATTACAAATAAAGAGCAAAATAAAAGATAATAGAAAGTAGGGGGACAGATCTTTCACAAATGCAACGGGGATTAAGAGATGGAGGGAGGGGAAGAGAAGAGAAGTAGGAGAGAAAAAAGGCATGAAATACAGAAATGAAGATAAGTTAGATACATGTATCAACTCCATAGAAGAACTGTAAAATTTATGTATTGCATACATGTACTAAAATGAAAGAAATGAAATAAAAAAGGAAGAAGAAAAGAAGGAAGGAAAAAAGAAAGAAAGAAAGAAAGAAAGAAAGAAAGAAAGAAAGAAAGAAAGAAAGTTCCCATCATCTGAGTCATTGTAATAGAGATTGCATATTTTCCGAGATCTGGGGAAGGGAGTTCCCATTAAGTGGGAGACTGAATCAGGTCATCAAGAAGAGAGCAATGACGGAGAGAAGCTCAGGTCAGATAGTGGCTGTGCTGGTGTGTTAGTCATTTTCTCATTGCTTGAACAAAAACACTTGCTACACACAATGTAAAGGAAAAGAACTTTATTTGGGCTCACTTTCTTGGTCCATAGTTGGCCAGCTTCAAGAAAAGAAGGATGGTAGAAGTGTCTGGAAGGAGAAAGATGCTCACATCATGATGGTCAGGAAGCCGAGAGAAAGCCAGAGCCAGGAAGGGAGGTATCCTTTCCAGGTCACATCCCCAACCCCTTTCTACCAGGCTCTTCCTCCTAAAAGCAGGTCAGCTGTACCATCCCCAGGAATCAGCCACTTTCAAAAAGCCTCACTTACAAGTGTATGAGTCTTTTAAAGGACATTCTTAACCAAACCATAACAGCCAAGCAATCTAAATGTCCTTTATACAATTTTTCCTGGTTTATGAATGTCAACTAAGGCCTCAGAAAATGGAACTGCATTTCCAATGCCATGTCGTAGGTTGATAGTCTGTACAATTTCCTGTCTCTCCTTTCCTCATTATAAAATCTCTCAGTGTTTAGCAAATGTATGGTACCCCATAACAGAGAGGGTATTTCTCAATCCCCTTTGCAGGTTAGTTGTAGCCATATGCTAAGGCCTCAGCTAACAACAAAAATCTGTGTGGTGGGTAGACTTCATAATGTGTTGCAAGGATTTCTTGACTCCTGGTGTTTACATCCCTATGTAGTCCTCTCTCCCTTACAATGGACAGAGCCTAGTTACTTTCTTCTAATAAATAAAGTTCTGCAAACTTGAAGGGTATCACTTCTATAACTAGATCACAAAGAAATGAGATGTTAGCATTTCAGATTTTTAAACTAACTATATAGCCAATACAGATGGGATTCTGAAGAAACTATAAGATGAAGTGGAATTTTCAGTTCAAAGCCTACAAAGAACTGAATACTGCCAACAACCATGTGAATCAGATCAGAATCATTGTTAAACCAACAGAGTGTGAAGACTCAGTGATGTTACCTCAGTTGGAAAAAAGGACCCACATAAGCCAGGTACAATTCTCTATCTGAGAGAAAGATAAATATGTGTTTTCTTAAACCACTGAGTGTTGGACCAATTTTCTTCACAGCAATAGACAAATAACATAAATGTAATTCTGCCAAAAATATACAGTTAATTATGTTGTTGTTAAATCCAACTGCATGATTGCATTATCCGAAAATAGTGAAATTTGATTAGAAATATTAAGCCAGGCTTTCAATTTGCCTCAGTTAACAAAAGGAATGGGTCTATGTATCTATTGATTAAAGTGCTAGGGTCTGTACCTGTGGTACTTGTACAGAGCTATATTTCCAGCTCTAAAATGAACTTAGAACCTTGTGCTTATCAGACAGGCACTCTACCACTGAGATGTAACCCAGGCTAACAAAATATTTTAGAGGGGGAATCAAAGTCTTACTAAGTCACTGACTTGCCCACTCTAGGCTCAGATTTGAAATCATTCCGGAAGTGCCTCACAACATGCCAGCAATACAAGTGTGCACCAACACATGTGGCATCTAGGTGTGAGGAAAGACGTAAGTGGGTGCTGCCATACCCTCTTCTATTTTAGTAGAAGAGCTACACTTTAATTGAAAATAATAAATAGCACATACAACTTTAGGAGAATTATCATTTAAAATACTTTGCTCTCTATAGTACATCAAGCACATACAAATTTTTATAACTACACCTTCAAGAGTTGAATACCTCAGAATTAGGCAAAATGCGGAATCTAAGGACACAGTCCCCACACAAAACTAAACTGCATCATTGTAGGGAGCAGCTGCAAATCCTAGGGCCACGCCTATTTCAGACTAATTGTCTACAAATTCAAAACTTACCAAGAATACGCTACAGTCCAGTAATTCACGAGAAAGTTTCACAGAGTTCACTGAAAATGATTAGAGTTATGGCCCCATTTATCACAGGCCAAGAGTAAAGAGTGGAAGCAGATGAAGGAAGAGATACGTATCCTGTCTCCACATCCTTGCCATGAGATTTGAAGGAAGAGGAGAAAAAACAATCAACATGTGTCAAGCTCATGCTGCATGCACACCCCAAGCAGGAAATGCTTTTGCCTCTGACTCGGAGGCCACTGCAGCAAATTAATTTGCTAATATTAGTGGTTGAAATCTCCCTCCCTTCGTGGCTCCTGGCTCTAGTTATTACAAGTACAGTCATGAGCCAAGTAGAAAATAAGCCCTTGCCTATGAACTTACACTATGAACTTGCACTTTAGATGATACATGTACATAATTTGTCTATATTCATAGACTGTGTCCTTCTATTTCTGCACTTTCAATTTAAGGCTTTGCAGAGTTTCTGCTCTCCATATCCAATTGACACAACTTTTCCAAAGGTTACTAATGGCTTGCAACCAGGCACCTCTCACAACTTATTTCATCTTGCTTTAATCTTGCAAATTTATTAACATGCTGCCCTTCTACATTTCTTAGACTCTCAGCTTTCTCTGGGAATACTCCTTTGAGAGTCCATGAAATCAGTGCTGTATATTCACATGCTCAATACTTACATCATCAACCACAGCATGTGGCCTTAATAAGAACACATGTGCATGCGGGGTTTTGTTGTGCCAATATAGCTGAGATCCATAATTATAAATCCCGGAAGACTCTTCTCTATGTCATTCTGGATTTGAGTTAGATTTAAAGAGTGGAACTCATATGAGTCAAAAATCCAAAGATGTTGGAAGACCGTGGTAAGAAGACAAGGTGATAGAAAACCAGAAAAATGTAAATTAGACTATACTTTCAACCCATTTATCCTTCTACTATTTCTGCCAACCACCAGTAAACCCAAACAATCAAATATTCTAGCAATGTGGGTATTCTAGTAGATCTATTTTTAAGCCCTATTTAAGTCTCAATTTATTGGCAGATATATGAATTTTCCCAAGTTTTTGGCATTCTTTGACCCATCCACTAACAGTGGGCTCTCAGAACTAGTGACTGGTGGAATTTCACCTCTCCATTCCGAACCTGCTCTTGCTCAGACCCTTTGAATATTTGTAAACTTTAGT